CCCTACCCCACCCCCCTCCCTACTTAGAGATTGGCATCGTTATTTTTAACGAACGAATTTTTTGAGATAGAACGCAACTTTTTGTGAACTTGAAAAAACTATCGTTTTTTACTGAACAAACAATTTTTTGGAACAAACTTTTTTAAACGATAGTGTTTTACGGAACTAACGATTTTTTCAAACAAATCTTTGAAAAAACTGTCGCTTTCTTTACTGAACGAACAAAAAGGGAAAACGAACAAAATAGATGGAAAATGAACGATCATTTTAAGGACGAACAAAACATTATTTTTGAACAATCGGCAAAAAATTAACGATGAACGAACGAGATGAAAAAAGTCGAACATGCTCATCTCTATCCCCACTGTCTCGTATGCCATATATCACATCTAATGTTATCTATATTAAAGTCCTGTCATATTAAAAGATTCAGCTTGGTATTTACATTCGCATCTTACAAGATCTAAACTTGAACCTGAACCTAAACCTGAACCTGAACCTAAACCTGAACCTGATCCTGAACTTGAATCTAAACTTGAATCTCAACCTGAACCTAGAGCTAAATTTTAACTTAAACCTAAACATAAACCTAAACCTGAACCTAAACTTGAACCTAAACCTGAACCTGAACCTGAACCTGAACCTAAACCTGAACCTGAACCTAAACCTGAACCTGATCCTGACCCTAAACCTGAACCTGAACCTGAACCTGAACCTAAACCTGAACCTGAACATGAACCTAAACCTTAACCTGAACCTAAACCTGAACCTGAACCAGACCCTAAACCTGAACCTGAACCTAAACCTGAACCTGAACCTAAACCTGAACCTGATCCTTAACTTGAATCTAAACTTGAATCTCAACCTGAACCTAGAGCTAAATTTTAACTTAAACCTAAACATAAACCTAAACCTAAACCTAAATCTTAAACCTAAATCTTAACCTAAACCTAAACCTAAACCTAAACCTAAACCTAAAAATAAACCTAAACCTAACCCTAAACCTAAATCTTAAACCTAATTCTAAGCCTAAACTTAAACCTAAACCTAAATCTTAAACCTAAACCTAAACTTAAACCTGAACCTAAACCTGAACATAAACCTAAACCTGAACTTGAACCTAAACCTGAATCTCAACCTGAACCTAAACCTAAACCTTAACATATGCCTAAACCTAAGCCTAAACCTAAACCTAAACTTAAACCTAAACCTAAACCTAAACCTAAACCTAAACCTAAACCTAAACCTAAACCTAAACCTAAACCTAAACCTAAACCTAAATCTTAAACCTAATCCTGCACCAAAACTTGAACCTTAACCAAAGAGAATAGTTTAATATAGAGTGGAATTATGTCGAAAAAGTGTAAAGCCACCATTTTGTTGTACTGTTTGCATACTGCAGGTGTACTTCACATATGTGTGCTATATAACCTATTGGGTTCTGGAACATCTTTTAATAGAAAACAAAGTTCTTGAAAATTATTTCGTTTTCTCTAAATTAATTCTCTGGCAACTTTAATAACTTTTTAAAAGGAAGAAATTGTAACGGATATGTCCAGGGATCATATTGTATTATTGTGATGTATACTGCGTATAATTTGTGAACATTTACATGAATTGTACACTTTGAACTCCTTTTTAAAGGGACTGAACAAATTCATACCAAGGGATAGGATTAATGCCCTTCTATTCTAATCTCTGTTCTGTGACCTTAACCTTTAAATCTTGCAAACACTTTTTTGAACGTTTGGCTGGTTTAGATTTTGGTTTAAAGGTTTCTGAAAGAAGGAAACACATTCAAGTATATTTATGTATATAATTGAATCTTTGCATCTTGTTACCCAACACACACTCAATCAGATTTTCCGACGAGTACTGAAGGAAGTGTTCGCGAAAATATAAAATGGGGTAGAGGCTGATATCGAATTGACTAAGATATCGACCGCTACTAATTGTACTTTTATCTGTTGCACCTATCAGGAATAAATGGTTAAAATCGTCTAATACTCAAGAGCGTAGCGTCCATATAAATCAAATTCTATATCATCCTTTACCCCCTTTCATTTTTCCCGAACACTCCCTTTCAAGTTCAGTCTTATTCAATATTATTTTTACTTTATTTGCTCCTATTTGCTCCTTTTATTATTTGAATTTGATAATTATTTACTTTGAATAGATTTAATTAATAATTATTATTACATAATTATACGTATACTTATTTATACGTCTGTATCATGTAACCAACGGCAGTGCAGTATTATTCAAAATGAAAAATTATTAAATTCAAATAATAATAATAGAAGCAAACCTAAGTTACTTAGGCTCCTCTGGGATATCGTCGTTTTCAAATTGGTTGCATATTTATTGAATATGATCTGTTTAAACCTACTATTTTTATACAAAATTTGGTATAAACCAATTTTTTTTTTATTTTATACACTTTTTTTCAATTACTCAAGACAGGAACATCAGATAGAACTCGCAAGGACACGATCATCTACTAAGTAACTTAGGTTTCAGCCTATACCCCCTTTCATTTTTCTTTTACAGTCCCTTTAAATATACCATTGTGAATCGAACATAACACTATCAATGGAGGATTACTCGAAATTACGTTCACATTTACTTTTTGAAGTAAATACACTTTTCTTGTATTTAAGTGTGCTAGTATTAAGATAAATAATACAAGTTACACTGTAGATCAGAAAAATCTTTTAAATTTTCATAAAAGTGGTTTTTGTTTTTGATGCTTGCTCTTTACCCTTTAACCCAACTAGTGTACTGTAATATCTTGATCTTCTACCCAACTAGTGTATGTAATATCATGATCTTCTACCCATCTAGTGTACTGTAATATCTTGATCTTCTACCCATCTAGTTAAATGTAATATTTTGATCTTCCAACCATCTAGTGTACTGTAATATCTTGATCTAGTGTACTGTATTGAATTTCTACCCATCTAGTGAAATGTAATATCTTGATCTTCTACCCATCTAGTGTACTGTAATATCTTGATCTTCTACCCATCTAGTGTACTGTTATATTTTGATCTTTAACCCAACTAGTGTACTGTAATATCTTGATCTTCTACCCATCTAGTGTACTGTAATATCTTGATCTCCACCCATCTAGTGTACTGTAATATCTTGATCTTCTATATACCCAACAAGTGTTGTGAAATATCATAGCGTTGGTTATATTCCTCTTTATTACCTTAACTTTAACCTTCTAGGCACGTTTCAACAATCAGTCAGTAGTTTAAAAGGGACTGTTCCTGGTTTACAGGTAGTTTAGAAGGGACTGTTCCTGGTTTACAGGTAGTTTAGAAGGGACTGTTCCAGGTTTACAGGTAGTTTAGAAGGGACTGTTCCAAGTTTACAGGTCGTTTAGAAGGGACTGTTCCTGGTTTACTAGTAGTTTAGGAGGGACTGTTCATGGTTTAGCTAGCAGCCAGCAAGATACTTCACTTAGATTACAGTGAGAGAAGTTATCTTTCCTTGCTTTAACAAACGAGTTGAGGAGATCATGCCCATTGGTTTGTCATTGATAGTTTACAAGCTAGTGTCCGTGTTGCCATCGATATCTGACGAGATCGTGTCCATTAGTTTGGCATTGATAGTTCACGAGATCATGTCTGGGTTTTGACATTGACAGTAAAGTGGAACTGAGTTTCACCTGGATAGATACGGGTTTGAGAAACCCTTATGGAGTAGGGCATTTACTACATGGATACACAGAATTAAGGATACTAAGAGAAGCTGTTAAACTTCTCTTAAATTACTTGTAAACTTGTAATTCCAAAAAAGCTTAAATTTAACAACTTGTAATTAACAATAAAAACTTAAATTAAAATGTCGTCTTCATTATATTGGTTTTATCGCCTACCGCTGTAGGACAAATACCATGTATTGTAGGACAAATATCATTTATTGTGGGACAAATATCATGTATTGTAGGACAAATATTCTTTATTGTGGGACAAATATCATAAATTGTAGGACAAATATCATGTATTCTAGGACAAATATCATGTATTGTAGGACAAATGTCATAAATTATAGGACAAATATCATGTATTGTAGGACAAATATCATGTATTGTAGGACAAATATCATGTATTTTAGGACAAATATCATAAATTGTAGGAAAATATCATGTACTGTAGGACAAATATCATGAATTGTAGGACAAATATCATAAATTGTAGGACAAATATCATGAATTGTAGGGCAAATATCATGTATTGTAGGACAAATATCATGTATTGTAGGACAAATATCATGTATTGTAGGACAAATATCGTGTATTGTAGGACAAATATCATAAATTGTAGGACAATATCATGTATTGTAGGACAAATATCATGTATTGTAGGACAAATATCATGAATTGTAGGAAAAATATCATAAATTGTAGGACAAATATCATGTATTGTAGGACAAATATCATGTATTGTAGGACAAATATCATGAATTGTAGGAAAAATATCATATTGTAGGACAAATATCATGTATTGTAGGACAAATATCATAAGTTGTAGGACAAATATCATGTATGGTAGGACAAATATCATGTATTGTAGGACAAATATCATGGATAAGAAATTTATTTCTGGAAAACTGTGTGAAAAGTGTAAATGGGAGAAAAAAGTTTTGACGATCAAGAATTATTAAATGCCAAAACTAACTATTCCTAAAACTGTTAACATTTGTTTTTTATTTAAATAGTTAGGCGTCCTTTATTTTAAGGTCTTTGATTAAAATTCAGTAAAAAATGACACTTTAATTGTATCTTGTTTAGACGCCCGTGTAGGAGGATTCTGCCCCGCCCCTCCCCGCCCCTTTCACCAGCCTGGAGTACAGAGAGGACACGCCCATCCAGGGGTACACAGAGTACACGCCCACCTCAATATGAACTCTAGATCCGCCCCCTGCTCACCTAATGCAGGTAATTATACATTATTATTATCACTAGAATTATTGGCATTTTGTTAGATTATCATCATAATCATTTTCATTATTATTATTGTTATTATTATCATCATCTATGTAATAAAGCAAGACATTCGTATACATATATGTTGACTATAAGCCGGCCAAACCATTTTCCATTTCCATTAAAATTATCCTTATCATTAATATTATTATTATTATTATTATTATTATTATCACTATTATTATTATTATTATCATTATCACTATTATTATCATTTTTATTAGCAACATTATAACGATAAATGAATTGAATTTTTTCCACAAACTCAAATTTCTAATCCCTTTATCACTTAAATACTAAACTACGGTTCATTTCAAGAACCAGGCCGACTATTAAGCAGAGAAGGTTGCACAGTACAATTAAAGACAATTAAAGCAAACCTGGACAGTGCGCGGAAAAATGATTCCTTCTAGTGAAATTTATATCTTTGCAACCATTTGGTATTTCAAACCTAAATTATTTGATCTAACGGTTTGAATTAAAAGTTCTGGGACGCATATTAAGGGATCGGAAACTCAATTCCATTATATAGATAATTAGTATTAAATACTATAAACAGGGTTACCCACAAAGGATAAGACTGTAAAGACGACCCAAAACTCTAAAAGTATGACGATTTGAAGCTTGGTTTTTGGTCTCTGTATTCAATTGAGTATTTTTATGGTTTACTATATGGCCATGCACAGAAATATCCCCATTTTGGCCTACACTACAAGAAACCCTGAACAAGAAAAGTATCCGTAAAATCGTCTCATCCTTTGTGGGTAACCCTGTATATTTAGTTCGAGGATATACTCCTGCTAAAGGAGGGAACACCCTCTCTCCTTCTACACCAACATCAGGGGCAATAGCAGCCAGGGACATCTCATTCCTTCATTTCTTTTTGTCAATCTTTCTACCTGTCTACCTGTCTACCTGTCTACCTGTCTACCTGTCTACCTGTCTACCTGTCTACCTGTCTACCTGTC